AAAGTTTTTAGACATTGATGCAAGCGTTCAAATTAATTCACCTCCACTGTACTCGGGTTAGGGTTAATTAACATTAAACACTCTGAGTTCCATCTACTATAATGTTCATTAAATGCTCTCACTTCCATTTTGAAAGGTACTCCTTTTTTGAGGATGTTTGCATTATGCAGTTTAAAAAGACTGGTGGTACATCCATCAACATATTTACTCTCATACACCAATGCAAACCATGATAAAATAATTATCACCAAGAATGATCAAATCTATTCATAGCTGAACTCTACAGCATTCATTCCCGTGCCTCTGATCCACACTTTGATTCGAATTTTGGAGAATCAAAGGTTACCTGAATAAAAAAGAAGTAAAATAAGGCACCCAGAGAACACCACATAGACACAATTTCGATCAAGTAGGCCTCCAAAAACCTACTTCTACTTGCTCGGCCTCCTAATCACCACCTGCCTCACCACCGGTCACACACCTGCTCTGGAAAAAGGTCACATTGATCCATGAACCAGGAAAAGATTGAAAACATCCTACAAACTACAGACCCATCTGCCTCCTCAGAAACATCCTTAACCTGTTAAGCCCTGAGCCTGTTTTTCAGGTCTCAGGCTCGAAAATGACATTCCCAGAACAAATGACCATATCTTCCCTTCTAAAAGGGTTAAATTAATAATCTTTTTTCTCAAAGTAATGATAAACCTATGAGTTGGATGTAGAAAAGTCAGAATCAATATAGATGTTTTTTATTTTAAAGAAAATTCAGATTTTACATAGTAAAAAACTGTAAATTATAGTGTCCGTCCAAAAATTATTTTTTACTTATAGTGAAAACCACCCTTGGATGATGGGTTAGTAGACTAAAAGCTTTAGGAATCCAAAGTACAACATATAATAAGTACCCTGTATCAAGATTGATGCAAAACAAGTGACATTTGACCTTTTTAGAGAGATTTAGCAAAAAGAAACCACTTCTGGGGTCATTTGGGTGGATGTTCCATATCTCTGGCCGCCCTTGCTCGATTTTGATGGTTGACACCTCTTTCTGACCGTTAGAGCCAATAGAATCGAAGGGGGAGTCCCCCACACACACACGTTGTGAAGAGAAAAGGTGGGGGCTTCGCGCATGTAATTTTGCATCAGAGTGGACCTATCTCTAGCTTTGACATCTGCAAACGGAAAAGCAGTTTTAATGCTTATGGATTATCAGAAATCATATCAAAGGGACACACACACATTAGATTAACCTATGGATTAACTTCAGCAGCGTTTTTATCGTTTTAATGGCATTGAAGACCACTTTGGAGAGACTACAAAGCCAAGGTAAAAATGTTAGCATTTTTAGCTACCTAGCGTCACCTGTTTTGATGTCCGTTTTTGCTTATAACGTCGCAAATACGTATAATTCAGTGGTAATGTCGGTGTCAATCGATTCTGTGTCACCTCTCGATGTGAATCGATGTGTTGGATGTGGTGAAAAGATAAATAATAAGGTTTTGTGAGTGATTTTTGGTGCAGTAAGGTGTTAGCATTTTTCGCTCGTTGCTAATTCAGAGGCTCAGTGTTAGATTGGTGGGTTTTCTTTTGAAAAAATATATATGGATATAAAACATTCATAGTTTTATTAAATGAAGGCATGTGCCCTCAGACACTGTTTTCTGCAAGATGTTGCGGCAGTACCCCGGTACCGGGGTCTCTCGGGCTTAACAGGTTAAACAGTTTGAATGCACCGTCACTCTGTGCTTCATGCTTCACACAAAGAAGGACTCTTGGGCAAGTTGGCTTCTTTTGAAAACATGTGGCGGGTTACTCTACATACTACAAGACAAATACAACTCAAAAGACAACTCTCTATCAACCATATCAAGCTTCTTTCCCAACCATAGAAGAAAAATCAAGGTTTCCATGTGCACATCCCTTTACACCCTTATCACTCCTGAAGCCGAGGTCCCTCAAGGTGCAGTGCTCGGTCCCCTCTCTGTTCTCCTTTAGATCTTCTACTTCTTCCACTCCACCTCAACTCACTCTAAACCAGTTACACTGGATGCAAAAAAACTGCAAACATGCACCACAACAAATAAACCTGGTCCAACATGTTGATAATAAAAAGACCACATCAAACTTGGCTTATTCAATTGCCAGGAAACAACAAACTCAAATTCCCCTGACCAGAGACACAAAGCTTTTATCTCAGTCTCACCCACCACTTTGAAGCACTTTGCAGATCAGCTGTCTCCGGTTTTTACAGAAGTCTTTAACACCTCACTGGAGATGTGTCATGTACCAGCCTGCTTCAAACCTCCACCATCATCCCAATCCCCAAATTATCAAGGATCACAGGATTTAAGGACTTCAAACCCGTCCTACTGACCTCTGTAGTTATCAAGTATTGAGCGCTTGTCCTTTCCCACCTCAAAACCACCACTCATGGACCTCCTGATACTCGCCAACAGATCTGTAGATTTGTTTCTTCAAGTGTCTGAGGTGTCTGCCTTTCTCACTCTCTGGGATGTGGACACCGATGTATTTCAAGTGGTCAACTCTCCATTAAGGGAACAATGATATTACGGAGTGCGTTGTTCCTTCTCTGCTTCTTGCCAAAGCCTACTTAGTCCTCCTTAGTTTTGCTGACATTCAGGCTTAGATTGTAGTCCTGACAAGAGGAGGTCAGACCCTCTTCTTTAGGTAGCCCTTTAAATGGTTTATTTGTGATGACGCCAGCAAAAGCTGTTTCATCAGCAAACTTGAGCCCTGGGGTGCTCCAGTGATTAAAATGATGGTGAAACAGGTGTCTTCGTCCACTGTCATCCCCTTGAGTCAGTCTGTCTGAGGTCAAAGATCCACATGCACAGCAGTGTTTCCCCTACCATTGTCTTGGAGGGGCGCTGCGCCCCACCAACGGAGCCCCGCCAACGGAGCACCACGCCCCCCTTGAAATTCAAGGTGTTTAAAAAAAAAGGTATAATTTCTTTTTTTTTATTAATCTTTTTTTTTTATATATATATAGCACCAAATTGCAACTAATCTATATCTACTGTCACTTTACACATTGAACATGTGCTCTTTTATTAAATAAACTAAACGCTTTCATTTTAAGTTGTGAGTTTCATGTTCTTGACCCTAAGAAACACTGATGCATTAATCAATAACAATAGTCCACAGCTCCTCTCTCTGCTCCAGAGGATTTAAAAAATATATATCCCAATGCCCCCCCCCCAGACAGCACCCCCCCAAAGCAGTAAACCTAGGGGTAACACTGCACAGTGAACCGTTTATTCCCAGTTGCTTCAAAAGTTGTGACGAGCATGGACAGGTTGAATACAGTTGTTTATCTTTGTTCATCCTAAATCATTGTTTACTTTATTTAACCAACAATAAAAAAAAACTCTCATATTTCATCACCTAATGTTAGATATGAGATTGCGAAGCAGGATGGAGAATCACTTTATATTTCTTACATCTCTATCTCACATCTGTATTGAGTTCTGATTAACTTGAACTGTTATCTACCATCATCTGCTCCCGTTGGATCACACGCTCTACAGAATCTTTTGACAGCTTGCCAAAGTGTTCTGATAACTCCTGCCCAGAGCTGCTCCTTTCAGCCTCCAATGGAATGCTGACTCACTGTTGTACGACCACTGATGAGAGGTGTGATCTTCTCATGAGGACAACCATCAATGACATTTGATCAATCCAAACTATTACTGAATGCATCACTGAAATAAAGACATTCACACTCTCTAACTGCCCTCATAATATTCCTATTGTTTCTATTTGCATAGGCTGTATGGTATTACATTGCTTTAAACCAACTGCGACAGAGTGTGTCGGTGTCATCATAGAAAAATGTGATCCTGAAGAATCATTCTGTAACTTTGAGAGTCTGTAAGTTAAGATCAAATTTGGGGGAGCTCTGAGTAAGGGCAGCAAAATAAAGGGAGCCAGGATATGGAGAAGCCCCTTGCCCGATTTGGTCGTAGTGACCGTCCTCAGATTTTAATGTATGACCTACCTATATACCTACAGATAACTATCACGTTAATTTTGTTGATTTCCATGGCCAAATTGCCTTTGTGCCTTTGTGCTCCCCATTTTGAAAATGTATAAATGATATGCAAATCTGGTTTTCAAAATATTACTATATACACTAAGATGAAATGAACAGACTGAGAATATGTGATACACTAATTTCTTACATACAGTACATTTGAAAGATGTGGCAAATTACAAAAGAATATCTGAAAACACCATCTTGTGTTGTCTATCTTTTAGTTAGACAATTCAACGACTGTAATAAATCTGTAAATAACTGTGCAATATATACCTCCCCTTTTACTACTGTAACCTGGCTGTTATCACACTACTTTTTACATGCTACACTTCATTTTAAAGAAAAATACTGTTACTGGTTATTTTTGTTGTCCACCTGCACATGTCATTTTGTAAATTGTAATGTGTCACTTCTATATTTATCTTAAATATTTTATGCAAGCCTCTTAAAGGTCACCTATCATGCTATTTGCAGGCAATAGCATAGGTCTCAGATATATACAAATATATAAAAAACATGTCTATGAAGTGTTTTTCTCAAAATACCAAACAGATCACCCATGCCTCATATCCTTCCATTTCAGCCCTGTTACTAAAGTGCTGATTCAGGGTATAAAGCTTTAAAAAAAATGATATTTGAAAATAAATCACACATATTTATGTATAAAAGACATCAAAAAGTGCATTTTGCGTGATAGGTCCCCTTTAATTAATTATTTGCTATTTTTGGCTCTTCACTTTAGCTGTAACAATGTTAATATCTCTCACAAACCGAAACCGTAAAATGATAAAACGAATAAACAGCCCCAGCCATGGAGATAAAACAAATAGATAAATATATAACCTACTGTGTGACAGTGACAAGATGAGCTTAGACCAAAGATAATAGAAAATGCCTCGAGACAAAAGTCTGAAAGGTAATTTAAAAAGTGAAGTGTACTCACGATGTTGTTGTGTTCGGGCAGGTGGTTGTTGCTCAGCAGCTCATCCTCCTGAACCAGTGGGGAGGGCCGGGGAGCGGGAAGGGGGGTGAAGTCTGCCGGCAGGGAGCCCGGGCTCCCCATCCAACTGATAGAGTTACCTGCATGGAAACACAGCCCATTACTGTGTGTGTGTGTGTGTGTGTGTGTGTGTGTGTGTGTGTGTGCGTGCGTGCGTGCGTGCGTGCGTGCGTGCGTGCGTGCGTGCGTGCGTGCGTGCGTGCGTGCGTGGGTGTGTGCGTGCGTGGGTGTGTGTGTGTGTGTGTGTGTGTGTGTGTGTGTGTGTGTGTGTGCTGGACTGTGTGCTGCACATTGCATCTGAGTGGGCGTGAACCTACATATCTATTTGTCAGTTTTATAGTTTGAGCTGTCGGCAGCTTGATAAATCACTCAGCTTTATGGGAAGTGCATCGACGCATCGATCTTGACTTTAGTGTTTGGACATACAGGCTTGCTGTGTATCGACAGGCTTATTGATGGCTGCTGTGATTGACTGACAGCTCTCGCCTCCGGCTCCTCTCCTCACACCTCCTGAGCCAAAAGCTGCGCACTGACACGCATTGACACAATCTCATGAATGTTAAGGCTGTAGCATGTAGCGGACATATGCAGGTAGCGTGAGTTCATGCTGTGAACACCACCGCAGGAACCAGCTACCAAGACAGATTCAGCAGACATTGTGTCAAATGCTTTTTTCCTGTATTCCCTTTGAATTGTTCCTCAGAGTATCTTTGATGGTGACACATTCATTCTGTTTTCATAGTTCTCAGATATATTATGGATAGCAATAGGCCTATTGTTGGTAAATATTTTAAATGTGACTATGACTAAGCCTCAAAAGGTCTGTGCTTTGGGGTAAAAAGAGCTGAAACCTCACACTGTTCATCATGGGACAGATGCCATGAAACCATAGGAAATAAAAAATGTAATACGAATATTTTTAGGAAAAGGAAAATGCCCTGAGGACATTTCTTTAAATAGAAAAGATATATATATGCAGCGGGGCTCTAAGGTATTCTTTCAACCCAATTTGCACAAATATCTTAAACAGCAAAAAAAGAGTATTGTTTGAGGTTTTAGAAATTATTCATAATCTCTTTTATCCAAGATTGAAATATGAGATTGTTCCTCAGGATGTCGATAGTTTAGCTTAGCATAAAGCCTCAAACAGCTACCTGGCTCTGTCTGAAATAATTTGAAGGTTTTGGTCTCTGTACAGGCACGCTAGTACACAACATGGCAACCTCACTGTGATAACAAGCTGCTCCATGTCAGGGTGCCCAACTGTTTGGCACCAAATAGTTCCAGCACATATGTCCCTTTAAAATTACAAATTTGTATATTAGCATGTCTGTTTATGTACAGATTAACTAAACAAGATAGACAATGTGAGAGTATTTAAATGAGTAGTATTTTCTAACTGGGCACAGACCCTGGTGGGCTCATCTCCCCTCCTTTTCAGTGTTTATGCTACTCTAGGCTAACCATTTTTGACTCAAGCTCCGTGCTAACCACACTCAAAAACAAACATATTTCTATCATGCACCTTAAACAGCAAAATATCAACAACCAGGTTTCCTCTCCGGAAACATGACCTGGCCCAAGTACTTAAATAATGTATTTTAATTTAAAATTAAGATATGTGATATTGTGCTAGAATAGTAAATACTCTCAAAAATGTGCAACTATCATGGTAACCCTGGGCAGCTGGTAACACAGCCCTTGTTACATGGTCAACATGTAACAAGGGCCCCCCTCTAAAATATATATGCTAACGATTCAGGTCTGAGGACTTTTATTGGTCCACATTAAAGGTGGATTACTAGCAACAGGAAGTTAGCCTTATGTGACACACATTATCTCTTTATCATATAGAAAAACATAATGTTCTGGTGGAAATGGAATCCGGATTTGTTAAATCTGAGCGATATAAAATAATCAAGAAATCAACTGAAAATACTACGTTTACGGAAAAACAAAAACAAATTCTGAGCAAATAAATTCAGTTTGAAGGTGCCAGTAAACAATACTCTAACAAATCAAAGTGATCAGATCTGTCACTGTGTCACAGCACAGACCCAACACATATGAGGAGCAGCATGTGTGTGTACAGAGTGTGTGTGTGTGTGTGTGTGTGTGTGTGTGTGTGTGTGTGTGTGTGTGTGTGTGTGTGTGTGTGTGTGTGTGTGTGTGTGTGTAGACTCACGCAGGCAGGGGTTGTGTGTGAACATGCGCTGCAGCCTCAGACAGTCCTGCCACTGGTTGCCGCTGCCCTCACAGTTACACCACAGAGACACGTCTGCAGAGCTGTTGCTGAGGTAGTTGGGAGTCATGACGGTGCCTACAGGTCAGAGGGGCGGAACACAGCAAATGTTAGCTTCGGAAAAGCATAAGCGCATAATAGTGCGCCGCATTTGCGCTTCAGATGAGGAGGTGAGGCCCCCTCATAACTGCATGAACCCGTATGGCACAATACAACTCAGACTGGCTTACCTGTACGTCAATCAAGTGGCAAATGCCATAGTAAGGATTGATGATAGGCTAACTTTAAAAAATAAAAATACATTTCTTTTTTTTTTCTTCTTTTTTTCCCAATGCCATGCGATCGACCAGTCGATCGCGATCGACGTATTGGGCACCCCTGGTTTAGAGTCAGAAAACCCAAGTTTTGACAATATGTTGAAGTCTGGAAGAAGGTAAGGTAGTGTACACCACAGCTGATTGCTACACACACAACATCAGAAACAGCCCACTTTAAGGTCAAACTGGTCAACATTTTGAGAAATACATTAAATGGCTCGCTTTCCGAGGACAAGATGGGAAAATATCTCCACCCTCATGTCTTTGCATTTTCCTGTCAAAGTTTGAGTTTGGTCAATTAGCCTAGCTTAGCTATAACACTCAAAACAAGGACAACCTGTTAGCTTTGTTAGCTCTGTCAGAGTTTCAGCTCTTCATGTTAGACAGTATGCCCATGTGCTGATGTAATAGGCTTATAGTGTCAGATTCCATTTATGGGAGTTTACTAATGACAAAAAATAGTTGGAATAAAACTGAAATAAAACTAGCTTAAATTAGCAAATTAGTCTTAATACAGTATAACTCCAGGTGCATGTGGTGCTTTGCCCTCATTAACAGAGGCTGAGGGTGTGTGTTGAAGTGTCCATGACCGAGACACTGACGGAATGTGAGTGTGTGTTAATGGTTATCCTGATAGGAAGGTTGCACGTTTTATTGAAGCCTCTGTCTCTGTATGAATGTGTGTGTATGTGTGTGTGTGTAAATGCTGACTTGTGTTGTTAAATTAAAGCACTTTGAGCGGCCGCTAGAAAACTAGAAAAGCGCTTTATAAATGCAGTCCATTTGCCAGCACTGCTGTTGTTTCTAGGGTGTGTGCTTGTGTGTGTGAGCAACCATAATGTGAGGCTTTATGTGTGAGAAAGATGGAAATTGGCCCACAGTGTGCTGGTGACTCAATTTCTGAATCGCATGCTTCACTATGGGCTTATAATGACTATTGTGTCTTGAAAATTAAACTCTAGTCATGAATTTAGTTGTTTATGCATTATCTTATGCAAATGAAGCGTGGCTGATGTACATGCCGGAGAGGGCAATAGTTGAGTTATGAATTTGCCTCGGGGCCTGCCTTTAAAGAATCCTAATTTAATCAGGCCTTGATGACAGAATGAATAAAAAGTATTTGTGATCACAATTCTGTCCTCTCTTGTTCTTCTGAGCATCAAATCCCGTTTACATCGTCTGATATCTTGACTGGACTTGTTCTACTTTATCTACTTGGTAGATTTACGCTGTGACCTACTTGTGCCAAACTTTTAATATGATAATATAAAAATGTGGCCCTCAATTTGAAAACATTAAAGCAGAATTTGGAATTAGTATAATTAGATTATTTTAACAAAATATTTCATCCACAAACGTGCTGCCTTCAGTATTTATAGCTTTTTTTTATGACATGGAATTATACAAAAATAACCATTAAATGCTCTCCTGCAGGCTGTGTTCTGGTGGTAAAATGCAGCTATCTATTTCATGGAATTCTCCTCAATAATCCTTTCCCTCCGTACCGATGAGTCCGGCGTAGGCTCGGAGGCACAGTCCCGCTGAGTCTTTGAGACAGCCGCTGGCCGTCAGAGGAGACGGCTGGCAGTTATTGAGGAAATCAGCCAGTCTGGACCTGGCAACAACACAAACAACAACTCAGCATCAAACACAAGCAGAGGCAGGATGTTTGGAAGTGTATGTTAGGGCGTGCATGTAAATTTGGGTTGAACAGATGTCGGGTTTCCAATCCAATACCATTGTTCTTGTATGCATTTTACTACGCGTACATCTGGACTTTTCTCTGTCTTTTCTTCATTTTGCCCAGTGTTCTTTGAATCTTTCACATTTACACAGGATTTAAGGATTCATATGCGCTTTAAGGCAAATACCAGCCTGCTGATGTACTGGTTTTAAATGTGTATTGTACGGGGAAATGTGCTTTCCCCGTACATGACACATTACAGGATGTATGGGCCAATAGCACAGTCATGGTACAATAGTACAAATGTGAATGTATTCATCATCATCATCATCATCATCATCATCATCATCATCATCATCATCATCATCATCATCATCATCATCATTATCATCAAAGTATTCATTGCTCCCAAATAAGATGAGAGCATTTATTATAAAACACTTTAGACCAACATGCTAGTTGGCTAATAGTTAGCTTGGAGGATTATGAGCATCCTTTTCGAAACTAACCATTGTTGTGTATTTGGTTACACGTTATCTTGCCACCTGATGGAGCTTGCTATTGGTCCGGCAAATAGCGACTAAATCAACAAGTTTCCAGCACACCGTTATCTGATATGCTGAGGAATTTGCTGTGATACTTTCTGTGAATAGGAATGAATGACATTGATCCAAAACCCTATTTACATGCAACTGTTTGGAATGGCATTCAGAGTCTGGATCATGTTAACAAGATCTAATATATAGGTTATATATATAGGTTAAGAGACATTGTAGGAGCCATGAAACATGTATAGTAATGCATTTTGTTTTAATATAAGATATTTGTTTGATCACTATTGATTGGTTGGCTTGGGTCACATGGATATGGGCGGCACTCATTTTAATCCTGTTCACCTGCGTGAGGTGTGAAGGTAATACAGTGTACATATTCTGACTTTGTTTCAGAATTCAGAATATTTTTCTCATAATATAAGAATTCTGAGAATAAAGCCAGAACTCCCCTTTTTTATTTACTTTTGGTTACATCCGGGAAAAAAAATCTTATGTGGCCCTAATCCTCTTCCGTACATACCCTTGGTATCAACATGAATAATATTTAATCAAACTTGTAATTTAAAAGCCTTTTTCATATTGTAATTATGACCAGCATCATCCATATACATCAATCTGAGCGGTGTCTGACCTGCAGAGGTCGTCCCGGCGGCAGAAGCTCTGCTGGTGCAGGCAGTTGGGCTGCACCCCCTCAGGGTCCTGGTAGGAGCAGGAGGGCACGATGGTCTTCCTCCTCCTCTCCCCACACAGGGTGTTGGTGCAGGGGCAGAACAGGACCCCCAGGCTGTACTCCTCAGGGACCCGCTCCAGGAAGCGCCTCAGGGCCCGGTGGCACTTGTGCTGGTTGCAGCGGCTGGTCATGGAGACCCGCTTGGTGCAGGCCAGGACGTACTCTGACCGCAGGGCGCCACACTTCTCATACAGGCCGCAGTCCTGTGCTGCCTTCAGGCACTGGTTCTCACCGTCCAGCTGCATGTAGGAAGAGGCTGAGGGGGGGGGGGGGGGGGGTGGGGTGATTGAAATAAGCCAAGCTCAAAATACCTGTGTGTGCAGTTGTAAAGAGGGAATGGAAGTGCATAGCCTCATACAATAATCGTTCAAAAAGGATATTGATTAGTTGTGTGTTGCAACAGTTTTACTAGCAGAGTGTCGTCTGACTATGCACTCTCACATAGTAAAGGCTCAGAGTTTTAAAACTTTATTGGTTCGATTTTTAGAGAATGGAGGCCTGTGAAATTAAAATGGTGTGACTGTGGATTTGGTTTAAATTTAAACAAGTTTGGAGGAAATTAACTCACAAACCTTGAAGCAGATTGAAATAAAATTAACAAAAACATTTCCCAATTTGGGATCAATAAAGTATATCTTATCTTATCTTACATATTCAAAAGAATGTGTGTGTTTTACCTGCCACTAAGGAGGCCATGTGAGAATCCATCATTGTGTCGTCATAGGGAGATATTTCCAACTCATCCTCACCTGGAGAAAAGGAGCACAAAAACATTGGCAAACAATCGGTCACTAACAATGAAATTGAATAATAGTAGCTTTTGAAAGATAAATTGTGTGACCAATACAAAGATACAAAGAGAAACACCAATAAAACTTAATACAACATCAACTGTACTGGAAGGAGGTCATCAATCTGGAATCAGGCCATGAAATGATTTTAATAGATGGATCAAACCAAAAGATAAGGACAGCTAAGATGATTCAACAACAGAAACGTCTATTTTCTATTGAAACATTTAGCAGGGCATCAGCATCAGGCTAATTATAAATCAGCATTAGGCATATTACAAAAGCCTGATGTCTTAGGCGATGTATCAGATCTAATGTAAGGTATCTTGTAGGATTTCTAACAAGGTGATTCTGGCTGGTTATGTGATGACACAAAGAGTAATAATAACATTTTATGGAGGTGTGAGTAAGCAATGACCCACAGAAGAGGAGCCGTATATGGTAAGACAGGAAGAGTTACGAGAGTGGTGTAAAATCCTCATATCCTCAGTTCATGCGTGTACACATGAGTCATCTGCAACACAAACCTGTACAGAATGCTGAAATCCCCTAACATTATAATGAGAGATAACATGAAACCCAGCTGAACTGACGTCAGCATCACGCAGCTCTGTGTGAGAGATTCTGTGGTGTCTTCTGTTCCATGTCTAAATTAAGTTGTCAGTGTATTTGCTGACAGTTCACTGCATTACATTGACATTTACTTCACAAAATCTAATTAGAAGAACAAAAGGCTCTCCTGCAGTGCAGAGGGGTCCCTGAAGTAACACTACCCCTTTACAAATGCTAAAATGTTAGCTTCCTTACTTTCCTTTTTGAGTCTCTAGTGATTGTGATTCATCCTGTCCATATGTCGTGAAAATTCATCCAAAATGTGTTAAGATGAAGGATGAGGGGACCACCAACGACATTAGTATTCATCCTCTGGGGTCCAAGAATATCTGCACTAAACTACATAGTAGCTAAAAACAGCCCACTTTAAAAGTCACCAGAGATAGTGAGTGGTTTTACCATAGCATGGTGCTGTGTTTGGTGTCTGTGTGGATGGTCATTATTTAAACCTTGCCTAGTAACACAAGCTACAAAGACGCCTTCAGTTTGTCTATTTTCTCATTTAATAAGTTGTTAAAAAAATGAAAAGCACTTACTCCCTCTCTTTCCGAGAATGAAATGACGTGAGAGTTATATCAATCTGTTCATCTCACTCAATATAATCTTCCTTTAAAGTAAAATAGGATTAACTTTATATCCAAGCAACACATCTTCATAAAAACTATTTACAGTAATGTGTTTAGTCTGGCCACCTGCTATAAAGAATTAGGGGGCCGTTTTTCACTTCTACTGGACCGTACAATATAAATGTACAGTCATCAGTTATATAAGAAAACTCTATTATCTATCTATACGACAGGCAAGAATAAGCAGAATTGAACCAAACTGGTCAAAATAACACTGTCATCCATAGGCGGTGCCAGGGGGGCGCTAGGGGGTGCTGCAGCTCCCCTAGGAAAGCCATAGCACCCCCTAAGCACCCCCAATAAATGTATGTCTCTTTTTTTTTTATGTGTGAAATTCATAATTTGAAAGATGATTGATTTGAAAATAATATGCGACAGTACAAGTACTTCTGGGCAGAGGTGGGAGTAAGTCCTACATGTGCAAGTCATGAGCAAGTCTCAAGTCTTGACCTACAAGTATCAAGCAAGTCCCAAGTCACTGTGGTGAGAGTCAAGCAAGTCAAGTCAAGTCATGCTCAGGTCAAGTCAGTCAAGTCAAGTCATAGATGAATAAGCCCAGTTTCCGCATTTAAATCAGTTAAAAGACAGTGGTTATGAAAATGGATTCAACCCACACTATGATCTTCATTACATACACAGTTAATCATTTGAAATCTAATTTAGACCGATGACAATCATATTAGATTCATATTAACCCTAGAACTGCAGACAATATAGCTAGGACTCAATCAAAAAGTCTGTTCAAAAAGGCAGAATTCCAGGTAAGAAAATCATATATGGCATTTGCCATTACACATATTTAATTTAAATGTATGTTAACACTAGAACCGCCAACAGCGTCAACACCTACATAGATATCATTTTCAAATCATTTAATTTTTCCTCTTCATAATTTCCTTATAAACTAAGTAGGACGATTTAAAACTCACTTAATTGGGTTAATTTAGAAATTGCTTCAGTTTATCATCATAACAGATCAAAAAGTTCAGATTCATTTTACAATAAATCAAGGAATGATGCACTTCTACAAACAAAAACAACATAATTAAAAGATTTAAACAAACTACTAAAAGTAGATGAACTACATTATTCAACAGTTTACAGTAACTTCTGATAACACAGGGGAAATAAACGAGGCATCTCTTTCCCTCTCTCTCTCTCCCTCTCCTGACAGCCCGTCAGTATCAGGGTTAGTACAAATGAAACCCTTGGCGGTTCTAGTGTTAATTTACCGTTTTGTCTTCTCTTTGCAATGCTTCATCGATTTGAAACCAAGTCTAACGTAGCTTAAACTTAACGTTAGCTTTCTAGCTAACACAACACATGCACACACCTTTCTCTGTGGGTTTTTTTGTAGTGACGAATGAAGTTGGATGTTGTGGTGGTCGTGTCACTGATCTTTATGCTGCAGACCCTGCATACCGCTGTTCTCTTCTTATTAGCGTCATCGACAACATAATCCTTGAATCCAAACTTCACTATTTTTGGAGTAACGCTAGCCGCTGCCATGTTAACTGACACTCCTGCCGTCTAGTGGGTTGCCAGGTTTGCGCGCGCGGCGCTATAATCACCCAATCACGTTTTTCGAAAAAACTAAACAATATCTCACTACAAAAACAAACGCAAATATTTAATTTTAAACAGTCAAGTCCTTTCAAGTCATCTGTCTCAAGCTTAAGTCAAGTCTCAAGTCATGAATACCAAGTCAAAGTCAAGTCAAGTCTTTTATCAATGTTAGTCAAGCAAGTCTCAAGTCAAAAAATATGCGACTCGAGTCTGACTCGAGTCAAGTCATGTGACTCGAGTCCCCACCTCTGCTTCTGGGTCTCTGTTTCATTCAAGCTCGGCTCTGTTTGTGTGTAACAATAGCGCATTTAGTGTGATTGAGCGAGCGAGAGAGAGAGAGAGAGAGAGAGAGAGAGAGAGAGAGAGAGAGAGAGAGAGAGAGAGAGAGCGCACCAGTGCCAGCAGGGACCGTGTTGTTAGCATCTGGTTAGCTATCTACGCTAACAGAAATAAGGAGCTGTTTGTTCCACAAGAAGCTGGAGGAGAGTCCTCTCCTCTCAGACTGAGAGACTCAGGTGAGCTAATGGACTCTCTGAGTGTTTAGATAGTTAACTTTAGTCTAAGTTATCTCAGTGGGTCTCAAACGGTTTGGTCACAAATTATGTAAAAGATTATTTCCGAGGCACACCTTCATATGATCATTATAGTTATAAAAAAAAAAAGAGAATAAATGAAAAACAGTTATGAAATACTATATGACAGTAAAACAAGAATACAGTTTAAAAGGCGAGTGATTTGTAAAATATCCATAAAGAAAAAGAAAATCTGCTTACAGGTCTGTTTCATATGGGTGTTGAGAGATGTATCCATAGATCTCTTAATGTTGCTCTCAAAGTGCACCAGATTGATGCTTTTAACTTCAATATTTAAAAAAATATCTTCCCGGGGGAGCATGCCCCCGGACCCCCCTACAGGAGGTTAGGTCCGCCCCCCACTTATAAAAATAGCACTTTACCCCTGCTTACACCTATATGCCGTGAGCTGATTATCGAGCCTTCATTGTAAAAGTCGCGGGTGTACTGTATGCGTGTGGGGAGTGTTGCAGTAGAACATTCAACTGTAGCGCCGGGTACATTAATGGGAAACACTACATGTTTGAGCACCCTCTATGAAACGTCAAGCTACCCCACAGCACCCCCAAAAGAAAATCTCTGGCGCCGCCACTGCTGTCATCGTATATTATTAGGAATACGTATAGATATGAACTATGGTGTCTGTTGGAGAAATATTTTCCTGGGCCCATAACTTTGGTGCTGTGCTCTCAGTGTTTTGTCTCCCTATTCCTGCCTGTTGGCGTCAGCTGAGAGGTGATATAGTGCTTCTCCTGTTTTATCCTGTTATGCACAATGTTGATTATTCTCTCAGAACCAGCTAAATACATGGGCAGTTGCGGACTGGCCATCGGGACGAATCCTGATGGGCCAGTACCGAAGTGGGCCGGTCGGACGATGTGGGCCGGTCGGATAAGTCACTAGCACCCCCGCCCCCCCCGTTGACAATTTACTAGTGGTACCGAAGTGGGCCGGTCGAGATGCCCGGGCTGATTTTTAGTCCCAGTCCACCCCTGTACATGGGTCTGGGGTAGAGATCTTCAGAATTGGTTTGGTATCCACTGTGTCAACTCGTGGCTCAGCACATGTCTTGTGAATTCTCCGGCTGAAGCTCCAAATAAACCGTCAGTGTTTGCCATCATAGTTCCTGCTCTCCCTGTGTCTCTCTGTGTCCTGTCTCCATTGCTCCAGAAGTTTCCATCACAGTGTCAGCCTACATCAGCTAGCCATGATTTTACTGTGATTTTACTGTGCCACAAACCAGGCACTGTAGGCATGTATTCAATGAGTTGGGCTAAATCTAAAATGGCAGACACAATACAAGGATCTTCTACTTGTCCTCCCTGCCACCAGGGGACCACGCCGCTGTAAAAGATACCGCTCTGCAATTGGCGCCTTCAGTTAGTGACTGAAAACAGTTTGCTGATCCCGATGCTGGGTTTGTGCTGGCTGAATTTTGAGCTGACTTTGAACTGGAGGCACTGCTTGCAGCAAAGTAGCTTCTGGCAGCAGGAAGTTGACATAAACATTTGAGTGTTTTAATAAAAACAACTTTTACATATAAACAAAAAAACGTATGCATAATCTTCCCAAAATGTTGTCCCCTCTTGTTGGACTGAGGTCAGACACCACAGTGACTCACTATCACCTCTAGACGTGGTGTTACAAGACAGGATGAGCCGGGGCTAGTGAGCTAGCATGCTAATTTCAGGAGATATCTCTGAAACACAACACATATTTGAAATCTTACATTTTGGCCATGAAACATGACCTTTAAAGTCACCCTTAGCTCATGTTACTGAAGACAGCTTTTAGACAGATGTGAAACCCTTTAGCAGAGCCTTGATTGACTAGTGGACAGGATGTATGCTGCCAGTAATTCCAACACACTCAAAAGTTCAAACTCAATCAAGAATGTAATAGCATGTAAAGTGTTTATGTATGTAAATCCTATTCTAGGCTATATATTTATGGTAATGACACGCTAGAGCAGCCTAGCAGCGTTAGGAACTGAAGAGTGTGTAATTACACTAATGCTCCGCTGACTAACAGGCCACAGGGGAGGAGTCCGCTGGCTAGTGTTAGCTCTCTTACTGATGCACATTACAACACTCCGGGTGTGTGTGTGTGTGTGTGTGTGTGTGTGTGTGTGTGTGTGTGTGTGTGTGTGTGTGTGTGTGTGTGTGTGTGTGTGTGTGTGTGTGTGTGTGTGTGTGTGTGTGTGTGTGTGTGTGTGTGAGGTCTTTTTTACTGTACCTCACTTGTACATCGGCTGGTTTTGGATTAAGACACAGTTTATCGTAAAAGTAGAAGTGAACCAGTTTTGCTTAGAGGTGTTCAGATAAAGGTTATGTAATACACATCACCAACATCTAGAAAGTCTTAAATGTCAATGTGTTTTTAAGGCATCACACTATACTGCCAATTCTGTGCGGCTAAAGCCAACGGATTGGTTTTCCAGTCTAATCCTGATGTTTCTCTGGGTGTCTCTCTATTTGTGTAAATTGCTACAAACCAGGCATATCTCTGATGTTTCACCTAAACATGTGCAAATTGATTTCTGTAATGTGCATCAAGCGTTTGGTGTGGCTGACTCTTGCATGGATGGGAGACTAACTTCAAATACACTATATTAAACAAATATGCATATAGTCATATTGTTTTTTGTTATTTGTTTGTGTGCCTGAGGGCAACCTTTTCTATGTGCATTATGTGTTTGTCTGGTGAAATGCTATAATATTGGTAAAAATTAGCTTGTGTTTTCATAATGTTAAACTGGTTTGTCATAACTAAACTACTACATGACTACCTGACTAAAAAGGAGAAGCAATGTCTGTAATAATATCATACATTTTTTTAATTTTTTTTAATTTGCAAAACATTATTTTAATAATATCTCAAACCTTCCAATGTTCACTTTATTATTGCTTGCCCTGTCATGTCACTCTAGCTGTAACGCTGTATATTTCAGCGCTGTGTGACTGAATTCTGATTCTGATTAAAGCCCCTATGGAACTTTGCACCTTTTATTATAGAAATATTCACACCAGCTTGAAACCCTAAGCTAGTGACCTTTCCAGAGTGTACCTCACCTCTCACCAAATCCATTGTTGGTTGGGCTTTTGCCCCCCATACATTTTTACTTGATAATCTGGTAGGTAGTGTATCCATAAAGGGAGACCCAGCTTTACATATGCCCCTAAAGAGTGTCCCTCACAGCCCACCGCAGCAGAAGCCCTACTGACCTGGCATCAGACGGACCCTCCAGTAGATGTGCAGACACTGCTCCTCCTTGCGGAATCCGCGCTGGCACTTGCAGGCCAGGAGAGCTGGGTGTTTGGCCAGCAGAGCGTCCTGTCCCTCCAGACACTCTGCAGCCACCTGCTCTCCCAGAGGGGACACCGCGGCCTCGGCTGCACACAGCTCCAAGCCCCGGTACAACGCCTCACACTGGGGCTCAGCTGAGCACACTTTGTGAGCCTCAACGCAGTCAGTCGGGGAGGGAGGGAAGGGGAAGATGGTTGCTGAGGATGGCAGCACACCTAAAAGAGGAAGAAAAGAGATACGTGTTAAAAGGGTAAGAGGGTAGGCAACATGTCTAACCGAGAGTCAAGGCCAGATCACTCCAGGAAGTTCTACAGTCATAATCAGCCAACTTTTCAACACTATTGAGAGAAAAATCTTTATGTCTTTCTGAAATATGTGGTTTAAAAACGTTGGTAGAAAAGTGTCTATCTTCACAGGGATATTTGATGAACCACTTTAGCTGGTGAGTGAAGTTCTAGCTTTCTAAATCGGCTAGGCTAACACAAGGCAGTCATAATATGTCATGTTTTCTTTCTTCTGTTTAGTTTGCAATTTTTCGTCACCAATAAACATAATTTTGTTGAATAAAAAGTTAAAAGACGGTCAGTAAACAAACTCATTAGGTTATTCGTTTTGCTTGGTTACTAACTGGATAATAATCATGTCTGTTCTGTTGAATCTTTATTTCTTAGATAAATGTTCCCAGTTTAAGTGCTGATGTGAACGGGCCTTTTGTCAAAAAGGTGCTACATCAAATGCTACTATATTAGTTTGTTACTGTGAAAGATCTGGGTGATGCTTTATTTTCAAGATCTGCATATCCTCACTCTGAGCACGACAGGATAGGGGCAAATGCTAGAATGAGTGCTAAGCTGTATTTTGACATTCATCATGAGAATCAGAGAACATCAGAATTAGATTCAGGTTTATTGCCATTGCCAAGTAGGTTTATATACAATTCATTTGCTTTGGTGTGTAATGGTGTACGCATAATCTATCGCATATTGTCTGTGGGTTGAGTTAAAGAATCTGTGTCAATGAAGGTCCTGGGCTTTTTGGTAAAACCAGTAGTCGATGGGAAGAAACTGCAGCACGGGGGACGGCGTGATAGGATCTTCAGATGGTAGTGTAGCAGTGATCCAACATATTCTCCATTTTGGTCTGGCATTTAATTAACCGCCTGTATTTGGGGAGCTCATGGCCACCAAGCACTACAGATAAGAGGTCCAGGTTTGTCCACACCACACACAGTATTTGGTCCCTGATTGGATGCAGGTGAGAGCACCGTTGACAATAATGTTCAGTAATTCCAAAAAAGGTGGAGAGAAGTGGGAAATAAATCAGCTGGAGTTGTTTCTCTCATGTTTATGAACTCTGTCTCAAAACAGAGGACACCAGCCCTCAGCGGTAACATCTTGGTTTGTTCGAGTTTTCTCGGTACATCAGACTAGTTATTGTAAACCTAGTGACAGATCGGTTCTGTGTCCATTTTAGTTTAGTAATACAGGCGTTTCTTCTCTCAATGACTGTTCTTTGTGTATTGTGATGCATTTCGTCGGATCAGCATGTTACAGTTTATTGCTCCATATGGTCATGTCAAGACGGGAATCTGTGGATGTCCTTATAAACATCTACAAAAGATCTTATGGTCAATAAAACCCTTTATGGTCATGCTGATTTATTGAAAATAAACAAAGAGGAAGTATTCAATGGAAGGATATTTGGTAACATCTTGCATCATCAGCTTGACATGGACCCTCAAGAAGAAGGGGAATTCTCATGACTGACAGCAGGTTGTACTGTACTTTACTGCAAATTATTTATCATTTTGCTGATGTCTCGAAAGCCAGTAAGAAATATTTGATTGTGAGCTTCATAATATGTCATTAATACAGAGCTGAAGTCATGATATCACATCTGCTAGCATTTGGCATTGTATTCATTAGTCTTTAATGAAAGACTGATGCGTGTTTACTGCCCCATTATAAGACACATCGGCTCCACTATAGCACTCAATGTGAGAAACTGAATCTTTTGAAATTCGAACAAGGTTAGACAACTTTGTCAGCACAGAAAGGAATATAGCTGCCATGAAAAATAAGAAGGGCAGCTGTAACTTAGTTGTGTTCATTTCCGTTAAACTTACAAACGTTCTTTTTAATAGTTTAGCTATTAATGCTTTGAGAATACAATCTTGGAATACTGTTTCCTAAGTATGTTTGCTTTCACAGAGTCCACATCAGAGGAGCCAATCAGGCAACAGCACCAGAATGTGTTTGAACCGTTCCAAGCTGTTAAAGCCCCTCAGAGGTCGGAGAACACTGTGGTCCGGACGTCATGCCAACAGGGACGAGGCCTGCAGGTTGCTTCCACTCATCCACTTTTCAAAAGGAAACATCCCAATTTCATTTATTTTTCATCCCTTCACCTTTCTCTTTCCTTTTTCTTTTGTAGAATACTTCAGTAGACTCTCAGCAGCCCAGATACTTCAATGACCCACCCAGGTGTGATGACGTTCTCTGCTAGTTTATTTATTGCAGACAGCAGAGTGATTGTGTGGAAGCCAAAGTTTCTCCAAGAGCTACACTGCTGTTTCCTGAAGTGTGGCTGCTTCGATTTGCAATAGCAAAAAGGAAAGGCTCCCCTGGTCAAATCCAATAGCTGATATGCATAGGGAAATTGCAGAGAAGTTGTGTGAGGACAGCAGAAATGTCATACCGGGAGGAGAAATGGGGGAACGGAGAGATGGATGGAAAAAGGACGAGGTGGGAGTGAGGGAGCAGGGCGAGAGAGATAGAGGCAGAGAGAGAGAGAGAGCCTGAACCTAGATGGGTTGGACACGCGCACAGTATGAGGCACAATCAGCATGCACCGCCGAGAATGACTCTTAGAATCACACAAAGATGCGCACATATGCTCACACACACACACGGGAATGGCTGCCCTGAGAGAGACCCTTTTATATGTGTGTGTCCTGCTGGGAGGGAGACTGGGAGGCACAGAACCCATCATTACTACCAGAACACAATACTGCACAACCACAGGGGGGGGGGGGCAAAGCAATCTGTCTAAGAAACACACATACACAAAGACTTCCACACACACATCTGGGTGTCAGAATAAAGTGGCTGAGAGAGCATAAACAGCTTAACATTCAGTGCCGGATCAGTAGACAGTATGTAAATTGAATACTGAGTGTGCTGATGAAAGACTAACCACATACATAAAACATTGTTGGTTGAACAAACAGCCTTTGTGGAGCGCCGCAGCCCAGCCACAACTCACTTTGTCCACACATCACACCGAGCGCTCTCTGACCAGAGGCCTTCCTGTCTCATGCCAGCGACACATCATCAAACTTTACAATTATCTGTGATACACAGGAAACATTGCATGTTCCCTTTAATGCTCTATGGCCGGCTCAGGTCACACACATGAAGTCTAACAGTTGAACAAGGGTGCAGGGAGTACGATGTCTGTAAAAAACCATACACTGCAAAAATGTAAATTCAGGGGTTGGAAAAACTCCAATGGAGCCCAACTGATACGGTAGAATAAATATTGGCATTTAGATCAGTTGCTAAGCTGAGGCAACAGATTCATTAACTGTGTAAATGGATTTGTAAATGTAATGCACTGTTCAGGGGCATTTTGGACTTAGTCTTCAGAAATATGCATCTGGCATTCAGAATATAAGTTGGGAATTATAATAATGTAAAAGAAATACAGCATACAAATGTCAAAGGACAAAGAAGTATATCGCAATAAATACCTCCATATTTCTGTACTTTTCAAACCTCAACTCACAATGACTTAAGTGACATGACTTGAAGTCATTTATGAGACTTCACAGAGCTCGCTATGAAGAGATTTTACACTTATCAATACAACCCCCCCCCCCAACACCTGGAGACAGACACAGATAGAATGGATATAGCTCTCCCTTAGTACGTATTAAAGAAGCCATTGACAACGTGTGTTAACAAAAGTGTGAGTGAAATAATTCAGATTTGAGTACTTTTGTTTACAGAGAAAAAGGTGAAAAAAACTAATGACATGGTTGTCCGCTCTAAAACAGGAAAAAAAACATATATAAAGCTTGCAGAGAAACAGTTCTCGGGTCAGAGGTCAGAGGCTTATATATGTTAAGCCCCTCCCTAAAGGCCAACCAACTGTTTGTCAAATTAATTAATGTCATTGAAAATAACTACAAATGTATTCCCAGTTATCTCAAAACAATTTAACACAATAAATCTAAGGTCTTCATATGTTACTACTTTCTGACCATTAAAGCCCTTAACAATTACATTTTTAATTATAAGGAATTATTGTTGTACTGAGTGTGAATTTTAACGCGTGCCATACGTAAATGGAGACGATGTCTTCAACCTTTGTGCAGTTTCCTTCTGATGTTTAAGGAATAGTTCAACATTTTGGTAAATATGCTTGTTTAAATAATGGCTGATTGTTAAATGGGAAGAGTCATATACTAAATATACTGTATGTGCAGTAAATATGAAGCTACAGCCAGCAGCTGGTTAGCTTAGCTTAGCATAGAAACTGTAAAAAGTGGGGAAAATGAGGACAAGATCTTGTCACATGTCCAACAAAAGTATTATATGTAACAAATTAAAAAAATGGGATGGAAGAGTGAGGGAAATTGTAGTTAAACGATCGAGACAATACAATACAAAAGATGTACCCCATATGTTCAATATGATAAATTGGTAGTGAACAGGATGTAAATACTGCAAATATGTATTGTGTTAAGAAATGTTTCATACTTACTGCTCCACAGTAAGGGGACATTTAAAAAGTATTAATTTCACAAAGATGAAATTGATCAAATATGAATCTAGGTTATGTAAATCTAACCTAAAAAAATGTGTGTTATTCATTTATGGATATTTTTCCTCAGCATGACATGTAATACTTTGACATCTTTATTTGCATATTGTGACACTTATCAAAACAGCTTTATTCTTCACTACACAGGCGAGTGACTCCAGAGAAGGCAGACCGCTGTGGCTGTGTGTCAGACAGAATAAAACCTCATCAAAGACCTCCCGTCTGCCGGCCTCTGCTCACACTGTCGGAATATACAGAGCACACCATCAACAGAACATCCACTTTAAACTATAAATGATTTTTAAACTCTGCATTCTTAGTGAGACAATTGCAGTGAACCACAAAATAACCCACTGAGGAAGGAGGTTTTACATAAAATGATTACACG